CACGACTCAGGCAGGCAGGCCGCGCAGAGGCCGTGGTCTCGGGGAGCATGGAGCCGAGGAGCACGACTCAGGCGGGCTGGTCGCGCAGAGGTAGTGATCTCGGGCAGCATGGAGCCGAGGAGCACGACTCAGGCGGGCTGGCCGCGTAGAGGTCATGGTCTCGGGAGCATGGAGCCGAGGAGCACGACTCGGGTGGGCTGGCCGCGCAGAGGTCGTGGTCTCGGGCAGCATGGAGCCGAGGAGCACGACTCAAGCGGGCAGGCCACGCAGAGGTCGTGGTCTCGGGCAGGATGGAGCCGAGGAGCACGACTCAAGCGAGCAGGCCGCGCAGAGGTCGTGGTCTCGTGCAGCATGGAGCCAAAGTGCACGACTCAGGCGGGTAGGCTGCGTAGAGGTCGTGGTCTCGGGGAGCATGGAGCCGAGGAGCTTGACTCAGGTGGGCAGGCCACGCAAAGGCATACTCGGGCAATCAGCAGCCGAGATACATGCTCAGGCAGGTAGGCTGCGCAAAGGCGCACTCGGGCAGTCGGCAGCCGAGGTACATGATCAGGCAGGCAGGCTGCACAGAGGCGTACTCGGGCAATCGGCAACCGAGGTACATGCTCAGGCAGGCAGGCTGCGCAGAGGCGTACTCGGGCAGTCGGCAACCGAGGTACATGCTCAAGCAGGCAGGCTGCGCAGAGGTGTACTCGGGCAGTCGGCAACCGAGTAGCTACTTGCGTTGTTGTCCCTTCATACCAACTTACCCGTGGTGGGGGGATGAGAACTTCTTTGCCTTGTGAGTCCTTGGGGGCCAGCTCTTTGCGTCAGCAGCATGCTTTCAGGCATCGAGATCGAGGCGCCAGGGCTCTACCGTTTGCTTAGCTTGCCCTTGAGTCGTCGCGTCAGGCCTTCATTTATGGCGAGACGTCCTTTGGCCTCCCTAACGCGACGTGGTGGGCAGGCGAGCACGTGAGTGGGCTGTTGCCCACTCTTGGGAAGTGAAGGGACGCTGGTTTTGGCGGAATCTCTCCTTTAGATAGGGCGCGTCTAGCTTCCTTCTCATTTCTCACCGCTGAGTCTTCTTCTTCGGATCTCGCCGTCCCCTCTCCGGTCATCCTCCTTGCCTTCAGCGTCGCCTCTCTTCTTCAAGTAGACCCTTCCTGTCCCCTTTCAAGGTCAGTGAGGTTGACCTCCTCCTCTTCTTCCTCTTCCTCATCCTCCAGTAGGGTTAGGGAGAGACCACTTTCGTCGTCCCCTGTCCGGTCCTCCGATAGGGAAGCGGCGCAGGCCCTCGAGGCCTTAATGTGGCCGCACGACCTCAACTCCACCATGAACGGGTCATTATTGAGGAGACTCCGGGAACGCTATAGCATCCCGGAGGATTATATCCTCAGCGGCCCCGAACCGAGGCAGCGGGCCTACGACCCAATCCCAAAGGGTTTTGCGCTAACCTTAGATGCCCTGGAGTCTTCGAGGTGCAGCGGGGCCCAGTCGGGAGGCGACAGGGAAGGATCCGCTTCCTCCCTCCGTGCGTGACCTGTGCCGACTACCCGCGGGCGCTGACGAACCCTTTTTGTCGCGGGTGATGGGCGAACTCCCGACGGGGGAGGCAAGCGACCCCCTGGTCGCCCGTTGGGGGGGCCTGTCCCGGGGGGACAGGGTGTGGGCCGGAGGAGATTCCTCCGCCGCATTCCTCCGAGGTGCGCTCCATCCCGACATGGCTCGGGATACGTACACCTTGCCCTTGGAGGCTCTGCTTGGCAAGTCAGTCAAGTCCTTGACGTTGGTAAGTATCGCGCCTGCTACTTCTAGTTACTCATTCGACTGTGTCCCTCTTGACCTCACCTCTTTCTTACAGAGCCTACACTATGCGACGACCCTGATGGATCGGGGCCTCAGTGAGCGCAACACCGAGCTGCGCCGCCAAGTAGAGGAGATTCGGGCCGGGGCAAGCCCGGAAGCCATGGTGGTCACTAAGAAACGCGCGGCGGATCTGGAGGCGGAGGTGGCGCGCCTCAAATCGGAGCTCAAGACATCAGAAGGTTCCAATAAGGAGCTCCAGAAGACTTTGCGGGTGGAGCAGACCGAGCTCCGTTTGCTGAAGACGGAGGCGTGCACCCTCGGCAAAAAGCTGGAGGAGGCGAAGGCCGAGGCAAGAGCAGCTTCCGAGGCGCTTGCCGAGGAGACCCGCCTCCGACCAAAGAAGGACAAGGAGCTGATCGAGACTTACAAGAAGTCCGAGGGGTTCGAACACGGGCTGACGTGGACGGGGCGGGTTTCCTACGAATATGGATACCGGATCGACCTGGCCCGCTTCTATGCGCGCCACCCTGGCTTCGAGGTAGAGGATCCTTTTACCTCCTATCCCGAGGATCTAGAGGTGGATATGCCCGAGGACATTCCTTTCGATGACCGCTTGGAGGTCCCGAAGGAATAAAAGGGTCCTGTAACTTTTTGTAGTTTTTTCTAAGGGGTCGGTCGGTCTGTAAGTCAGGGTCGAGTCTTGTAATCTCAGTTTTTCTTTAATGAAAGAAATTTTTCTTCAGACTCTTGCACATTGCCAACTTTTACCTTCTCACACGAAAAACTTCTTAAGGTTTTGGACGTTCCATGTCCTTGGCAAAGAACAGCCAGCCATCGTCACGAGCTGGTACGTGCCTGGTCAGACAATCTTGATGACCCGATAAGGTCCTTCCCATTTGGGAGTAAGTTTACCGTGCGCTCAGGTCGAGTTACTTACCTCGGCCCTACGCAGCACTAGATCACTCAGCCTGATAGGTCGGGGTCCGGTGGTCCGCGAGGATGATTGATAACACCGCCCCAAGCTTGAGCGACCAAGAGCACAGGGATCTGGGGAGGCTCAGGGAGGTTCTCCCTAGCTCCCAGGCCATCCGGAATATGACCGAGCGGTGGCTGGTCGAGGCGGGGCTCAGCCCGACGCCTCAGGGTATGTTCATAGTGTCCGATCCAAGTATTTCGTGGCTCGCCCTGAGTTCTAACTCTTGTCCGATTTCTTGCAGAAATGGTGAATCTCCGATCCCTTCAAGGCGGTCGGGCGTCGTCAGCTTCCTCTCCATGCCCATCGGTTGACCCAAAGCCCGACTCGAAGGACACTTCGCTGGAGGTTGAGGCCGGGCGTCCTCTTAAGAAGGCAAAGATCATCGCCTCCAAGGGAGCTGAGGTGGCCCCGGTCGAGCCGAGAGTTGATGCCACGAAACAGGTGGAGAGGCGCCAATATGTTTACACCAATAGATTGGCGCTAGAAGGACGACCCCTTTGGTTCTCGGGGGTCTTCGAAGGATCCCTCTCCTCGACAGTTCAGCCCCTTTGGTTCTCCAAGACTCTTCTAAATATGTTTTTTAAGTTCAATATTCACTTTTTTTTTAGTCAATGCACAACTTTATTCACTGAATATGTCTTCTAATTTAATAAAATTCAGTGAAAAATCCTAAACCCGGTTTTTTCTTGGGTCTAATTGGTTCGAAGTTAATATAATATAACAATTGCATAAAAAAAAAATCTAGAAATCTTTGGTATTTCATATTTGTAGTATTGAATTAATATATTTTTTCTAACATTACATATGTTTACTATATAATTTTATATTTGTGATAATGTTTTCCAAGTATGGTTTTCGTAGGTTTACCCATTATTTGACTACTTATCTAAAAATTCTGATTTGATTTTGATGAATATTGACTATCTTTAAAATGTTGACTGAATAATTTTTAGAATTAATATTATTTTCGTAATATTTATTATAATTTAATAAGAACAATTTATGGTATTTCATTTTTTGGGTTTTCCAAAGGAATTAGATTCCATTCAGCATATAATGTATGGAGCCGGGAGGATCTATCACGTGGGTGGCACGTGCTTATCCTCGTTTAACTGAGACCGAGTATTCCGATCATATAACCCGCATCAAACCGTCCGTGGCCACCAGTTTAGGATAATAGATATTGTAAGGGTTGGACAGGATCCGAAGGCCTGACCTCGTTGACGTACAGGCACCCTCGTGTTCTTCCGCTCTGAGTCCATCTTGGTCTCGCCGATCGCACCCAAACCGCTCCTGTGAGTAATCTTTCCTTCCCATCGTCTCTCGCGAGCGATTTGTTGTACTCGATTGTTTCTTTTTCTTCGGATCTTTTTGGTCTTAACATCTTCCGCGTCTCTCGATCTTTAATCTTTGCTTCAGAAACCCTAAATTTTGCCTCATTGATTGCGTGAAGAGGAGCTTTTTTTTGGCTAATAACTAGAAATTGGAATTGATGGCCTCCTGATGTGTTTCAGATGATGTTTCTGGCATGCTGCTGATTCATTGTTTTATATAAACCTGCAGGATGCCGCGGATAACTGAGGCTTCTAAGCCACCTGCTTCTGATGAAACACTGCGTCCCACAGAACAAGGCGGGAAACCTGCAAGATCAGCTTTTCTATGGGTGGCCTTGTTTGTGCTCTTCCTGAATAGCTCTTGGGCTGTCTACCATTTTCAATTCGAGAGTCTACCTTTGCCTCTCGATGCTGAGCAAGCAGGCAAGCGTGGTTTCTCTGAAGTGTCGGCTTTGGAGCATGTCAAGTATTTGACCAAATTGGGTCCTCATCCCGTCGGTTCAGACGCTCTTGAGCTTGCAGTGCAGGTTCTTTTCTCATATGTTCTTGACAGTTGGTTACATCTTTGATTTGATATTGTAGCGAAGTGTTAATTTGCACAACTCATGATGTCTTCTACCAAAATGCTGTCTTAGACAGTATTATAGGAATAGTAACTTGTAAGATTATGTCAGTAATGTTGATTTGATTTTTTTTGGTTCGATTAAATTCAATGACTTTGTGCTTTATGTAAAATGGGTGGGCCAATAGTAGTTTTTTTTCTTTTACTTTCTGTGCTGATGGAACAGCAACAAGCAAATATGTGAATATTTGAAATGTGGAGTTTACAAAATCAAACTTTTTTTTTCCTGTGAAGGAAACAATGTATGTGTATGGTGTTTGCTGGATTTATATTCTTCATTTGTCCATCTATCAGTGTCATGACAGCTTATAGGTTCGTATAGTGGAAGCCTAGGAACACGAGATTGATGTTTAGCAATGCTGATTTCTGTCTTTCAATATCATAACATTGTTAGCTCTTTCATGAATGAAAATGTATGCGCGTGTTTTGTGCAACTATTTTGCTTTAGAATATGGTGATAAAAAATTGTATGTGAAACCAATCATGTTTCACTAAACAAAGGATGATTCACTATATCTTCCACAGAATTATCTTAAGCTCAAGTTGTAGCTGGATTTGACAAGAAAAAAATGAGACTTAACATTTGCCATGATAAGTCTAGACTTTTTTCTCTGTTTTCTTTTTCTTTTGTGTATCCAAAGAAAGTAACCTGATAAGCAGAGGAATGATTCATTATAAAACATTGCTTGATCAGATTATAGCAATGTAAGTATCACTATAGCATAGGATGCTACCCACGCATGAAAACTTTTTCTCGTATATTGACATATTCAAACTATACTTCATTGATTGAAACTTCTTTAAAAGTACCAAAATTTTTATAATAAACTCCATGAAAAAAATCAACAATTATAAAGTCAAATTTGTCGAACAAATGACACTTACTGTGTAACACTTACTGGCTAGGTCAATTTTTGTTCTGTTTAAGGTCATTTAACAACTAAAATGAGAAGGGAGGCTAATCAAACCATGTCAATGCTTATTGACCTGCATCCTACTAAGCTTGGTTTGTGTTGGAGCCCTTGAGGTTTTCCATGTTCATACTTATGAACTATGAAGTATGGAATGTTGTGGACCTTTGTTTTCCTGGCTTGTGATGGCATCGAAGGCCAATTGTTGAGCAATGTCATTGTTGTCTTGCTCGATGGTCATGAAACAGCATAGTATCTTAGAGGCTCATCCAAGTACTACACAAGTACACATGTGGATTTTTGCTAATGGTTGATTAATAAGAAGCTGTGGATATTGTTTGGAGGGGCCTCCATGGTAGAAGCTAAGAAGTTTCAAGCTTATGAAATAAACTTAGATGTTGTACTTAGTTAGAGCAACATTATTGAAGAAAGTGACAAACCAATCTTGATCACGTAGACATGTATGTCAAATGTCTCATGGACTGTGATCAGAGATGTTGGACAAGTAGCATGTAGAGTGGAAACCTGAACATTACTAAGTAATATGAACAGGTTTGCATATGACAAAAAGACATGTACAGGGAGATCCATGATTTTTAAGACAAGACTGTTGATATTTCTTATTTCTATGTTCATAGTATGGGATTGATCATTTGGTGTGAACATAAGGATGGCTCTATTCGGTATGGCTCTATTTAGGTGTCTATTCGGGCAGGGCCCTATTCAGTTGGCTCAGTCCAGGTGTCATCTCGGGTTCAGTTTTTTGGACATCAGAACTGGAACAAAAATATAAGCTGATATTAGGACTAAGATGAACCAAAATTGAACCTAAACTTTGGTTTCTGTTGTTCCACTGGTTGGCCAGCACTCACTCTCTCATCTGTTTCGTTTTACCACCTGGGGGTTCACACCACTGATGGTGGCAGGTGGTTGGCGGGATGGCAGAGGTCCAGCAAGGCACAGCAATCAGGGGAGTGATGGTTACGCAGCAGTTAAGGGAGTGTATTAAAGCACCATAATTTAAAGGTCATGCTTGTATTTGCTAATCATGGTTTGTACCGGAAATCAATACAGGCACTTCTATATTACTTATTTTGGGGTTTTTAATTGTTTAATTATGTAATGACGCCTAAAATTTGATGTTGTCATCATTGCGTTAAACTTATAAAGAATTACAATGATATGGTTATGACTTCATATGCTGCCTATCTTCCTTCATTTCTGCATATCTGTCTTTGTCATTTAGCCATGTGTTGATGGTAGGGCTTTATGATATTCTTCTCCAATAGTATGTTTTTGCAGCAACAGAGAAGATTCAGAAGACAGCTCATTGGGAGGTTGATGTTCAGGTGGATCTCTTCCATGCGGAGACTGCCGCAAATCATCTCTCCAAAGGTCTCTTCAAGGGGAAAACACTTGTATATTCAGATCTGAAGCATGTTGTCTTGAGAATCTTGCCTAAGTACCTGCCTGAAGCAGAAGATAATGTTATTCTGGTTTCCTCACACATTGACACAGTTTTCTCATCGTAAGCTTTTTATCTGTGTTTTTATGATACCATTTAGTTCTATAACAATATAACCTATCATGGCATGTTATCAAGCAATAGAAGAAACAAACTAATGAGATAGCAACATGCTAATGAGATATACAAACACTAGAATTTTCATTCTTTGTGATCTCTGCAAAATGAATAAGGGATGTACCTAATTACCTATAACATACGAGTATTAGTTCATGCAATGCAACTTATAACAATTTAGTTCTAACTCTTCATGTCAGCACTATGATAAGTCAGATTAGTTACTTGCCGACCGGGGAGGATTTCTCTTGCAATATCATAAGATTGTTTAATAATGTAAAAGGTACACCACAAAGAAAATGATTGTCTTATTTCCAGAATTTGAATATGTAGATTAATATCATTTGCTATATTTTTCCAATAGAAGGATCATTTCTTTTCTTTTTCCAGGCAAGGAGCTGGTGACTGCAGCTCATGTGTGGGAGTTATGTTAGAACTTGCTCGAGGAATTGCTCAATGGGCTCATGGATTTAAGAATGGTGTCATTTTTCTTTTTAATACTGGAGAGGAAGAGGGCCTTAATGGAGCTCACAGCTTTATAACACAGGTTAGGAAAGAGCTTTATTTGGTTTAAGCAATTATTTTCATTATATATCGGGATTCGGGATCTCATTCAAAAGAAGTGGAACATGATGTAATATTGTCATTGTTTGTTCCTTTGCAAGTGGTTCTTTTTTGGGTTTCCATGAACAAATTCCTCCATTTTTTTAAAATTTAAACCTGGCTTATAAGTGATGAATATCTTGGTGATAAGGAACCATCAGCCTCCTCAGATAGTCCTTAGATAAATCAAATATTATAAGAGATATTGTACATATAGTGAGTGATGTCGTGGAAGAAAATTGTGGAAAATAAATTTCGGTTAGTAAAGTGGAGTACAGCATTTTCATCTGAGTAGCATTTCCTTGGAAAATGAGAACACAGTTGACTTTCTTTTTCTTATATTCACCTATGCTAAAAATAGAGAAAAGATGTGCATAATAAATTGGGTTAATTAATAAATTATGACACTAACTCGTTTCAGCGATGTATGCAATTATAATACTTATTTATATTTTTGTAGTCAAAATTTGATTTTCCAAATTAAATGGAAAAATTATGTAGAGAATTCTTAAACTAAAGTAGTTTAATAAACCGTTTTATAGGACAGTTGCATTACTAACATCAATTAATAACAACAGAGATCTGTAAAGTAAGTGATCTTTACACTACAAGGTCCTTAGGTGAAAAAGATTCAGGATTCTAATTTCTAAGTGTTGATTGATGTATGGTATGAAGTAAACTACAAGGTGCTCAGCCAGGCGTTGGTTTATGTATGTGTTTTATGATTCTATCTGCAACAACATATTGATCTTTAACTCTATAACATTGGTATGTAAAATAGAAGTTTCTTTTTCTTTCCTATAAAATATATTCCTACTAAACGTGAAGGCCTTTACGTTTCTGATCCTTACTGACTTTGTTTAGGCATAAGGCTCTATGTCAAATTATTGGTTGCATGCTGTTGGTACTGCATGAAGCCAAGTTTTAGCGGCAAAGTACATGCCTGCATGAACAGTCTGGAATGATTGCAACATGGAATCCCTTATATAGTGCACCTATAAAACATCATTAATATCTGCTTTGGGCTACTCTCATTCCACTCTACTTTCTTTTCTGTTTAGCAAATAAATTATAGCCAAATGTTTGGTTTTGATATATGTATCTGTTGTTGGCATGAATCAGCATGGGCTTTAGTGCTAGACTAATGAAGTGGTGTCGCATTCTTACTGCTACAATCAGTGGAAAGATGCATGCCGACTTGATCTTGTTGCAGCATGCAATCCTTGAGCAAGTGCAGCCGCAAGACATCGTTAATATCTTTCTATTCGTGATTTTAAATTTTTATAATCTGAATTCTAGCCTTCTTGTTGCTTTAAGTTTCACCAAAAGGCCATTGGCATGCATGAGTAACTCTGTACAAGCAAAATAAAATTTTGTTACTGAAGAAAACTTGTGAAGCTGAATAATCTTATGCTTGATGTTTCTTTGAAAGGTGTACATTTTAATAAAATTACTTTTCTTTTCTTTAAGAGAAAGTTTATTAGTCCTTCATAATAAGATCTATGTATTATTCTTTCAGCATCCATGGAGGAGCACCATTAGATTTGTAGTAGATCTGGAAGCTATGGGGATTGGTGGAAAATCCATTGTTTTTCAGGTTTTGTACACACAATGACTCTTATTGTGCTTTATTGAATAGAATATGATTCCTTTTCTTAGCTGATATATATGGATTTAAGCTTCTATTGCTTCATTTTATTTCTTTGTTCCTCTTCTACTCAGCGTCTAGGGTTATTCCTCTCCAATCTCCTTCGTAGCTTGTTATCTGTTCAGTTGTTTACTGAATGAAACCTGTACTCATCTACAGGGTGGTTTAGTGCCATGGGCTCTTGAAACTTATGCCAAGGTCTCAAAGTACCCATCTGGTCTAGTTATTGCACAGGTCAGGATTTTGTTTTTGCTGAATTGTAAATATGTCATCATCGTTTTATCTTCTTTCTTTTCTGCACCTGATCTCTTGTTCTACGTTAAAATTACACAATTTTCTTTCACTTTGATATCACCATGATAGGTCAATTGGGAAAAATTGAGAAGTTGGATTGCTTTAATGAATTGAATGATCTGACTTTGAAATCCAAATTGCATCCGGGAGACAATGGGAGGGGAAAGAGAGAGCACATGAATTATAAAAAAACTGTAAAAAAAATAGAAAATGATAGGTTACCAGGTGGTAGGCTTACCATCGGGTGCACCTGGTTTTAATTATTAATTAGGGTGGTATGCTTGGTAATGTGACTATGATTGATGGTTTTGAACTTAAGTCAGGCGAAGACTGGCTGTCCGTGTACTAATTCACACTCGAACCAGCAAATACCAGGCCGTACCGACAAGATGACTGGTTTTGAACTTTAAATAGAAGCATGTTTGTTATTCAATTTAACATAGTATTTGATATTTCAGGTCATGCAAATTGATAGGTGTGGAAGTAACAGAACTTCCATAGGAATGTTCTAACACCGCACATAAGAACCTTGAATAAATAGAATAGAAGCTATCACGATAAACATACGATAATAGTTCACATGAAAAATATGATGCTTTATGATATATATTCTCTAGGCATATATATTAACTGCCCTTTAGTTGTTTTTGCTTTACCTAGTCTGAGTGTTTCTTTCATGCACGATATCATCTTGCAGTTGCATTTTTTTATAATTTGAGTTCAAGTTGTTGATCTGCAGGATCTCTTTCATTCTGGTGCAATACAATCTGCTACAGACTTTCAGGTGTATGAAGAAGTTGGCGGTCTTTCTGGACTTGATTTTGCATATACAGATGCTACTGCTATTTACCATACAAAGGTATGTTTCTTGGTCCTCAAAATCTTGGTCTGCAGTCCAGTAAACAGAATGTTTATTACCATTTTAGTGGTATATCATGTGCATTTGTCAATTAACTTCTATGATGTTAATTTTTGAAATATGCTTAGGGTGACTTTTTATATGTCAGAGCTAGCTAAAGATCCTTGTCTGTAGACTCTGTACCTGTTGTATAATTTGCTTATTACTCATGATGGTCGGTCTGCTACACATTATCATTACTTTCTAGAACGGTAGCTTCTAGATGTTGATAGCATTTACAAACATAATGTGGCTATCCATGGGAGCTGCGGTATAAGTCACATGTATAATGCTTATGAAGTTGCTTATTATGAGTTTGACATGTGAAGCTTGTTTTCATATCACTGTGATTTAAAAGGAACATATAGTAGATTCAACTAGATTAACAGCATGATTTGATTTTTGTGTCTCTATTATGTACCACACGTAGCATGAGACTTCTGTTCTTTGGTTTCCTTCAGAGGAAGTTCTTCTCAGGATTCTTTAGTCAAGAGACCCTTGGGAACATTAGCTCCTATATAACTTTTAAAGTGAGCCTTCAGGCCAGAACTTCCAGCGATATATTTTCAGTCAATATTGGGCAAGGATTATTAATATTCATAAATGATTGAATTTATGAATAATGTAGTAACAGTAAATAATGTAGTTCGTGTAGTACAACATGACTCTTTGTAACATGATTAATGTTATCTCAGATTTACTTTTGATTATGGCAGACCAAATGTTGTTAGGAATTGTACCCAGACAAAGTAGCCGTACCAAAGGTTTTAAATACTAGTCACTGATGATCTCAACCACCAATTGGACAATACAGTGCTAAGATCCTAGACAGTATGTCAGGATGCACCACTTGATATTGCCAAAAAATTAATTAAGAAGTAAAATAGAGTGGTATACCAAGTGGTACTTAGTTGCATGTTCGCTGACGATTCATTGGTCGTACTGGTATATACCAGTCAGTATGTACCGGTTTGATTGGCACTTTAAACTGATAACACCCATCTCTATTAGATGACTTATGATGACATCAGCAATGGCATTTCCAAAGATTAAAGCTTCAACTGTATTGGTCTGGTACAAATAAGACTTTATCAGTCTGATGGCCCATCAGTACATGGACTGGGCAATTTTTCCTGATCCAGAATTTAGGTGTCTGATAAGCTTATCACATTGAGCTTAGTAGATGATAAGCTGACTGATATCTAAATTGTACCAGGTGACAAGCCTATATTTCGATATTGGTACCTATCTTACCTTTTTAACCTTGTCTACTTTTTCTCTCTTTTGCTTTAATTCTTCTCCTTCCACTCAATTTCCCTGCTGCTGCCACTCTTCTTCCACTCCACATCACCATGTCACCATCTTCTCATCACATAGTTTTGTATCATACCTTAACCTCCTTCGCCTCCTCTCCTCTATGGTTCGCCATGCTGATCTGTATCGGGTGGTATAGACAGTACGTACTGGTCCGATAAGGGACCGACACGTGGACTGCCCTGTACTGGGCATTCCATAACAGGGGACCTCGTATTACTCGATATGTAGTCTGTATTAGCCAGAATCGTCGAAATCCGACCATTATCGACATGTATCGATTGGTAACAGTCGAATTTCAATTGATACCGATCAGTGGCTGGGATTCGTTGAATTCAAACGGTCCATTTGATCGTTTGAATGAGATTGAAGGGTTTTTAAACCCTTTATACACCCCATTATCTTCCCTTTGCACTCTCTCTAACTCATCTTCTCCGAGTAGCAATACTGTGATCGATCTTATGATATAGAGCAGTAGATCAATGGCAAAAGTAAAAGTTCTGACATTCTCGATACTCCGCACCATTACATGCCATAATCGTACTTGCTTGAGGAGCCGTCTCAGAAACATGTAGTTCACGACAATCGGACTATGACTATCATTATATTGATACACCAATGGCATACGGTGTATCAGTATACTGTGTCGTGGGATCAATTTTGGGATTGAGTTCGACAAATACATCAAATTGATATACAAATATATAGGATCGAAGACTCCGATCCATCGCTCGTGGAGTCCCGTCGTTATTTTTGATGGTAGAACTAGGTATATCCATCGATTGATTACTTGATTCATTTGAATGTTAAGGTTTAAATTGTTTAACAAATAATATAACAATTCAAATCATTTTTTTAAAGATAATTCAATATTAACGGAAGGACAATCCAGAACATACCACAAAGGTACTTAAAATCCGAAAAAGATATGTGCCATTATTCTTTCCTAACTTAGATTATTTTTGCTAAAATTATACTAAATTTATATTAAAAATCCTAATCTAATTTTTTTATATTATACTAAAATTATACTAAATTTATTTTCAACTTAAAAATCCTAATCTAATTTTTTTTCTATTTTTTCAGGAATTTTGGAGCTATTTTTGGTCATTTTTTCATGGTGTCACTATGCCTCGTCATATCAACACACGATAAGTTGGTATGAAGTGGTATGTACCATACCGTTGGCCGGCTGGTACACTAGTACGGGCCGGTAAGATGAACCTTGCTCTTCTCTTTCTTTCACTCTATTTGTAGTGGTTCAGCCGATACCAACTCGTATTGATTCACTGTAAACTGCAGGGTTTGTCGTACCGAGCCGTACCGCCCGGTATGGGCGGTACGTACCAGTCCGATAGATTTTCGGTACGCGGAACGACGATTACCGGTCCAAGTACTGTAGCAGTTACTGTAGCACTGTAGCAGTGCTACAGTACTCGGTACACTCAGGTGTACCGAGCGGTACACCTGGGTATATCGCTCGGTACACCGTACCGTACCGGTACCGAGCGCAGGTCGAAATACCGGTACGGTACGGTATTGCGAACCTTGGTAAACTGTATGGTACATGTACCATACTTGTTTGGCTGCTGAATGGTATTGGTACCCAACTGAGATTTTAATATTTGTTCATGTCATGAAATAAATTTGACTTGCTAGTTGCAGAGTAAGATGCAACTTCACTGGAAATATGTGGGTCTAATGGTAAGTAACATCATAGTTGCCTCCACTGTCACTAATACAATATAAAGTCTAGATGTCAGCACCAGTTATTTCTACTTGGGTTTGATTTTCTTTTTTTTTTTATTTACTACCTACCATGAAACTAGGAGCATGATATTTGATGTCGTACAATATAACATGTGGTTGCATTTGCGGTATTTAGGTTGTTTTATAGTTCAATTATTTGAACAATTAAATAATTGCTATTTCGATTCTTGCCTTTTATGTTTCACTTGACTTATAGTCAGTCTGATAGAAGGTTCAATTTTTCGACAAAGGAACTTCAGCTATTCATTGAGTACAATTATTGCATTTTCACAAGCAAACTTGTCAAATGAACTTTGTCTTCTTCTTTTTCATTTTGCAATTTCTTTTGGCAACTAATTGATTTGATCATGATGTTATTACTTTGTAGAGTAAGTATGATTAGTATTTGAAATCATTATCTTAACATATTCATATTTAGGTCAAATTGGTCTGGGCTACAATACAAAGTGGTTGAACACTAATGCCATTTAAAAATTTAACCTGCTATGTATTGGGTCAACTCACATATACGAAATCTGACTCTTTTATCTCTTAGCAGTGTGTGACTAATCCTCACTCCTGTTTCACACATGTATTTTCTTTCATAACTTCTTCCTCTTGCATGTGTGGTTTGATCATCTTCCCCTTACCCTTTAAGGCTTAACATGTTCATGTGTAATTCAATCATGTTCCTTTACTTTTTGAGGGTTGACTTGTAATCATGAGAAGGTGGTTCACTTGCTTGCATCAATTGTTGCAGGCTTGCAGCACAGCCCCTCTTTAATTTCACATAGTTTATATTAAACTTTGACCCAAGTTTTGATCTTCAATCCAGACACAGTGATTGCCAATTGGCTTTGCTCATGTAATATATCATTTGGATTACTGAGTTCTGATGCCATGTTGAGATTTTTTAAGCATTGGAGTCTTGGTGGAACTTCCATTGGAGTTATCAAATATACTTATGTAGTTATATTATTTGACACAGGAGCTGAAGCACCTTGTGCATTTAGAGTCTAATCCCAAACTTTATGTTCATAAAAAAGGTATCACAACTTATGTTAGTGGAATTGGTACTAGGATTATAAAAATAATAGACCTTCTTCCTCTGTAGTCCATGTAATTAGGATTAGTGTATTGGACCATTTTTTTCTTTTACCAATAGTCTAGGGTAATATTTTTCAATTCAAATGTGAGTTACTGATATTTTTCTGTAACAATCTATGCAGAATGACAAATTGAAGCTTTTGAAACCAGGATCTCTTCAACATCTGGGAGAAAACATGCTGGCATTTCTAATTCAATCTGCTATGTCAACAAATCTCCAAAATAAAATGGAAGTGAAAAAGGATGGCATTGTTCAAAGCCAATCTATCTTTTTTGATATCCTGGTACGGTAAATTATTACTCAAAGCTTCCTGTAAATTCATGCACATTGAGTGATTTTCCAGCCTTTAACCTAATTTATCTAAAGAATGATCTATTTGGTTGGTCCTTTTAGTGTTGGTCTTGCAGTTTCTCATTAATGGCTCACTTCCCTAACAGTCCTCCATGTACTAGTGAACCAAGAAAAAGAAAAGTCCTCTATATACTGGATAACATTTTAGCATTTTGTTTTGGGATGTCTTTTGATGTATATCAAATGAAAGCTTATTTTGTTAGTATAGCCATGAAAACTTTTAGTTAAACTGTCAATTGGAAATACTCAGAAAGACAGTTGTCACTTGTCACTCTTTTTAAAAACTCAGGGTCTTGTACTCTTTGAACATTTCTCATATGTGCATCTCTTAAAAGTATCTGAAGTTCTGAATAATCATTGACAAGGGGTATTTTTGGTATGCTTGTCGGATGCTTTGTGAATGCTTCTTCGAAGGAATTTTTCCTTGAGTGTTGATCTTCTGATGACAGTCAAGATGGAGATTTCACAATAAATACATTTGTTTTGGAAGCTTTGTTTAAGAATGGGTAAACACCAGTTCAACTTATATTCAAAATGATTAGGCTCTGATTCTAGTTGCTCTGTGTGGTAAAGACTAAAGATGACAAAAGTATGTCTCTTATGAGATTTATAAACCTTTTTATTGATAATTCATTTTTGATATAAAGTTTATATTTATCTCTTATGCCAAAATGTTTTAAATTAAGTCACATTTGATCATCTTGAACATTGGTGTGTTTGGGGTTACGTAATTTTCATATTTCTAATTAATTTGATACTTAAATTGGAAAACTCTGTAGGGTACATACATGGTTGTCTACTCGCAACGACTTGCAACAATGCTGCATAACTCAGTGATATTGCAATCACTTCTTATATGGACAACATCTCTTATTATGGGTGGCTATCATGGTGCTATGACATTTGGATTATCGTGTTTTAGCATTTTGCTCATGTGGATTTGTTCTCTAAGCTTATCAATAATGGTTTCTTTTCTCATACCCTTGATTTCCACCTCACCTGTACCATATATTGCAAACCCATGGTTAGTTATTGGCTTATTCGGCGCACCTGCAGTACTTGGGGCATTGACTGGTCAACATCTGGGCTTTCTTTGCATCAGTAGGTATTTGAGATGCACTTTTTCCAAAAGAGTGCCTACAGTAGCATCCAACACTCTGGAAAATTTAATAAAGTTGGAGACTGAAAGGTGGCTTTTCAAAGCTGGTTTTATTCAGTGGCTAATACTTCTTATAATTGGCAACTTCTACAAGGTTGGGTCCTCCTTTGTGGCCCTTGTTTGGTTAGTTTCACCAGCTTTTGCTTGTAAGTCTAAGAACTCTTAAGCCCCTTAAACTTATATTATTCACTGTATTTAAATATAATCTTTGTTTTCTTAGATGGTTTGATGGAAGCAACATTATCCCCATTACGATCACCAAAGCAGCTCAAAATTGTGACACTGATTTTGGGTTTAGCAATGCCTATTCTGTTCTCTTCTGGGATGATGATTCGATTGGTTGGCATATTAGTTGGAATCATTGTCCGATCAGAAAGGTAAAATTTCAACATCCCTATCTTTAGGAGTATTTTCTTTAAAAGAATTATAGTGTGTTGGTATGTCAGCATGGATCTGACCTATACCGGTCTGGCTATGGTGTTATCTATGTTTGGTACACAAAATTGAATTCCTTGGTTTCAACTGGATATCTGTCTCTTGGATTCCTTTTCTTTCTATTGTGAATTAATTATAATAACATTGGAACACTTCTTTGTTATATACTTTTTGAACCTTCTCTCACTCTTATAAACAATCTTCTCTCACTCTTATAAACGTTTTAATTGTCTTATGATTGACATGCAGGAACCCAGGTAGCAGACCTGACTGGCTTGGCAATGTCATAGTTGCTGTATTTGTTTCAGCAATTGTTTGTCTTATGCTGGTTTACCTTCTTTCATATATTCATCTCTCAGGTAGTTATTTATCTTTCTTAGTTCTAATTGCATAAACTATGATTTCTATTCTTCTCCTGCATAAAATTATCATGCAGAGGACTTCTCTTGGACCTTATTTGCTTACCTTTTTTGTTACTACCTTGTTGACATGCACGGTTAACCTTGCAATCAGCTTTAACAATTAAATGATTGATATATTTTATTATCTTTTCAGGTAGCAGATAAATAGGGACTATACATTCAGCTTCAACAAATTAACTGATTGATATGTTGTATTATCTATATTCAGACAACAGATAGATGAGGACTATACATTCAGCTTTAACAATTGAATTATGTTTTATTATTTTTTAAGGCAACAGATAGATAGGGGCTATCCAAACTAATTTCACTAACTGAAAGTTACATGATGGAAAGAAAATGAGCAGTAAGAAAAGGCAGCAACAAAAAGCTACAGCCCAGCAGGCATCACACAACAATTTACAACACAAGATTTATAAGGTACAAAAAAGAAAGTGAAATGTTTAACGTTGTCTTTGGATTTCCAACTTTTAAGCAGTAGATCAGTAGATCTAATGAGAGCCTTAGCATTAGTGACCTGGTCTTTAAAAGTTTTTGTATTCTTAGCTTCTCAGATCAACCAAGGTATCATCATGGCTAAGCTATCCCAAGTTAATCTCGATGCGCAAGAAATGAATTGTCAGAGGAGATGAAATCTTAAGCAAGGCTTCTCTTCCACACTTAATAGTTCAAACTTAAAACTGCACTTTAACAAAATGTATCCTGTTGATTCCACAGAGCAAGCCAGGCTGGCTAGGATGGCTTAGTCAGCTGTCTCTTCTTGAATAGCTCACTGAAATAAATTTGGTTATCTAGCAAGACACTTAAACATTTAATTTTACTTTGGTTTTTGATAATTCCGAACCTTTCTATGATATCGCCAAACTAAGTTCAGCATAGTTCAAGAATCAGTGGATGAGAGAGACAGTTATGTTCATAACTAGTTTGAGTCCTTATTAAATTTACACTTCCAGTACTATACCAACAAAGACTAAATGGCACTATAGCATACAAACTACTTTTGTGGTGGTTCTGAACTTGTTTTGCAAACATGGACTTAATTATGAAGACTATATGTAGGTGCAAAAGGACCAATGATCTTTTCAATGCTTATGCTGCTTGCCCTTGCACTGGCTGCAGTATCAACTGGCATTCTCCCAACGTTTACAGAAGACATTTCTCGGGCTGTCACAGTAAGCTACTTTCTGTGCATTTTTATTCACTTTGGGTTTTCAATGGTCATGATGATTAACCCTTACGCTACGCTTGCTTGATTGGATCCTATTAATGATGTTGGTTTAACCTTTATCTTGTTGATGTATGAAATTTAAACAAAGTAGACAAGGGGTATATTTTTTATAACAAGCAAAGGGAAACTGTGAAAACTAACTTCACAATTTTTTTGCTCGTTTAAACCCTATACAACAAAAGTTTGGTATTTCATTTGTCTGGCTTACATGGAAGGAATCTTGTATTTCTTTCTTTTGGCATAAACACATTGCTGAAGTTGTATTATGACTATTCTGGCTTTCAGCATTATCTAATTAAATGATAATAGCAACAAACAAGCCATAATATTTCAACTACTTGGGGTTGACTATTTGGATCTTTTCTCTCTATTAAGCTTTGTAGAAACTAGAAAGTAATATCCTTAGTTAATTCAAAAGCATCAAATATCTATTTTATGTTGTCTGTTTGGCTAAACAAACAAATCAATGTAAACTAGCACTAAATACTTCAATCTCTTTTCGTACGTAGCCCCAAAACTTTTGTTTAGAGCTTATCATAGTTTATATTTAAACCCACTGCTCTCTGATTACTTACACATTTTAGTTTTAATTTTTTTAAGAAAATTGAAAAATACATATATAGATAAATGACTATTGTTTCTCATCGGTTTGGCACGACATGACATATTCTAATAAGAAGTTTGTTAAGTCTTTGCACCTGTAGCAGATCATTAGTGTAAATCCTACTTAGAACCAAAATGAGCCCTAACCTCTGGAGGAAATTGTATCCTTCCATATATGTAAAAGAATTTTCTAGAAAATTAATTAAAAAATCCTGTGTCTACAAGCTCTTATGTTCATGTTTAAGTAAATCAATCTTTTTTCCTTCTCTAAAGATAAACAGTATAAAGAATAGTGAGTAATGAGGCAAGATTTTCGACATCTTTTTTCATTTTAATTTTTGAAGTATTGAAAATCTGAGCCATTGTGAACTTTCTAATTATTCCCTCTTCTTCATGCACCTTCTCCCTCTTCTTCCTCAATGCTTCTTATTCCCTCTCCGTAGCCAGGCTGATACCGCCCGGTAGCAGGCGACGATAGTCGAAATCGATCGTTATCGACCTGTTTCGGGCGATACAGCCTTGTATTGGACGCCCCGTATCGTCCAATACGGGGCTAGATCAACGGTATCGCCTGGTAGTGAGCGGTCCGTGTACCGGTCCTTGATTTCAAGTATTAGTGTGAGGCTAACTTTTTCTTAATCCTAGACTTTTTTTGGTGTGTGAAATATTAGAAAGGAGTAAAGGGTACTTTGTGAGAAGAATGAAATAGAAGTAGGTTCTTAAGCTGATTTCTTTGGAGGAACACTCCAGTGGCATCACTATAGGTTCTCTACTCTTTAAGGTCAATGTCAAATCCACTTGTCTAGGAGTTACCACGACACTATAAACACCAACAAGAAGTGACCATCAATGCCATTTACAAAGAGACTACAAAAGCTGGTTTTATCTTAAAATTAAAAGCCCTTTAAAATGCTAGGAAAATATAATGTTATTTTCTTTCATATTCTGATCAACTGATGCACTGTGGTCAACCCAAGGATTGTTGTTGTATGACACGGGGTCTGCCAACATCATTTTTAGTACATTATGCTCTAATACCATTCCCATTGACTCACTGTTATGCCAGTATTCACATGCCAAAAATTAGCTCAGCCATGTATTGCCACCTCTACCACAGTTCAGAATGACACATGCTGATACTATCTCAAGTCTTTTCATCTATACCATGAGTCAGCATGACAAGAGTATTCTGTTTTTAACTAATTGTTAACTTCCACCTAGTATTACAGTACTTATCTTCTTCTTTTTGGATAAGTTCAACTGTAGGACAACCTGGTAGAATAAAATATTCCTTTTCACTTGTGCAACTTGTAGTTATCACTTTTCTGCTAATTGTGATTATGTGTCAGGTTGTGCATGTAGTGAAGACAAAAGGAAACTCTGAAAATCAGGATGCATCATCTTTCATTTCCTTATCTTCTTTGACTCCTGGAAAGTTGACAGAGGAAGTGAAGAATTTGAAGGATGAAGAATTCACTTGTGGATGGAATAAAACTATTGATTTCGTTACTTTTACTGTGAAATATGGCTGTTGGAGTTCCAAGGATTCGGGAAGTGGATGGAGTAAATCAGACATTCCCATAGTCCATGTTGAACATGATTCTATTGCATCAGGAGCCAGAAAAACAGGAATATTTATTGACACCAAAATTTCAAAACGCTGGTCGCTTGCAATCAATAGAGAAGAAATCAGAGACTTCACATTTGAAGGTAAGGAGCAGTTTAATAGAGGCCAGTAGCATCAGCTAAGTCTTTCTGATTGGGGTATAAAATTTATTATACTGATACTTGTGCTTTCAAAGGCTTTGCCAAATCTGTTATATAATTCTTTGGAAGATAAAATGAGCAAAACACTATATATTTTATATGATCATACTAGATTTTTTGTATTATTACATCGAAAAAATGGATATCAAACTTGGTATATTGAATGGTTTTTCAACGTGAACCACTTGGTATCATGGGAAAAAAACAAAAGAAGAGAAAAAAAAAAAACCAACCAGTGCCGGCCTATATGGCATGGTATGTTTGGTTGGATCAATAAAATACCAGTCAATATGGATTGGCCCAACAAGCATTTGAAACCTTGATATTAGATTTTTACAGTTTAGCATAAAGTCCTGAGCTCGAATTCCACCTTCGCCACTGATCATTTGAAAAAAAGAATCTTGATATAGATCAGTTTGCATTAGAATGTAAGTTATCGACACATCTCTTACTGAGTTTATTTCCAAAAGTGTAATTTTTTTAATCTTTGTTTGCAGCAGTTTATTTTTATTTCTTGAGCAATTTGCTACATGTGAGTATGATCTTTCATGGAAATACCAGCTCTTTATTTTCTTGTTATTGATGAACTTTTACAGTAGATGAACAATAACAGAGACACTGTTTATCCTTTGTTCTTATGTGACCTGACAACTCAGAAGGAACCCTATGAAGAATCCATCTTAGATGACTGTTTATCTCGCTCTTCCTATATTAGCACCTTCAATCCGTAACATCTACTTTATTGTATGGTGAAAGGATTAAGCAGTTCAGATAGTTATGTTCTCAATCAACTGTATTTGCATCACTAACTGCTGTGGAAATGCGTGCATGAACAGCTGACTCAGAAGAACTGGTACCACTTGGCGACAAGAGTGAGGTTGATGGATGGCATTTTATCCAGTTTTCTGGTGGAAAGAATTCTCCGACAAAATTCCGTTTGAATCTCTTCTGGTTGAGCAACACGACACATCAATCACAAAAATCATATGAATCAGGAGCCTCTCCTCTGCTCTTGAAACTCCGAACCGACGTGAGCAAAATCACACCAGAAGTCGAGAGCGTTCTTGAGAAATTTCCACCTTGGTGTTCTCTTTTTGGTAAATCCACTTCACCCTATCCTTTGGCATTCTTGACTACACTCCCAGTTCAATTCTAGATACTGCCTGGATATGATAAATGCCTTCCAGAGGCTTAATGGGATATTATTTTCTTGGTTATTCAAAATCAAATTAGTCGTAAGTTATATCTGGAAATACTTTTGTTTCTAGATCACAGAACTACAAAATTTTACCGTTTGAATCAAAATCGTAAGTATGTGTCTGTTATCTTTGAAGAAAATGTTGAATAGAACAAGCTGATGTTTGTCTTGTTTTGCAAGTGTTGATTTCCAAAGTGATTATTCTCTGTGAGCTTAAGTATCTCAAGCATCATTATATATGTCATATGGTGTGGAAGGATAAAGCTTGCCATTATGGTGCCTAATTAATGGTGAGTTGGTGCACGCATACCAGCATAGTATGAGTTCACCTTTGGCAATCACATTCTAGCTCAAAGGTTGATGGTTGCTTCGACGCAGGAAGAGTTGCAAGAAACCTTCGCATTTGCTTCTGTATCTCTTCTCCTAAAATTAATATGTCAATTGAGCAGAAAATTTTGGGTTAATCATTGATCCGATCATAATCAATCAAATGGCTGCCTTCTTGACTCATAAGAGTTTTATATAGGAGGAGGCGTGTTTTCTTAATTATTTTAGGATAATTTATCAAAAAAATTCTCACTAGTTTGTTTTTTTGGTGTTATTTTACTGACAATTTATTAGCGTTTTCTTAAAATTCTAGTTTTACCTTCATATTTCAATAGTTTTTTTTTATTTCTTGAATCGATTCGAATCAGTGAACCGATTCAAGTCAATCGAGGGTCTTTCCTCTTTCGCTTCCTTATCTTCTCTCTCATCTTCCTTCTCCTCCGAGGAGATGAGGAGATGATCGAAAGAAGAGATGCAGGGGTGATATAAGAGGAGGAGGAGAAAAATGAAGAAAGGATAGAGTAATAGAGAAGAAGATGGAATATCAAGCGTAGGCTTATAAATTTGATCATGATCAAGTGTTTTTTGGATTGTCTCATGAACAATGGAAGTGAGGCGCAAAAGAAAAAGAAATAGGAGAAGATTGATATAAACCATGTAATAATCAATGGTATAGTTATCCATTTACATCCAGTAAATTCTCAATACATGATGGACACATCCCATAAAAAATAATTAGTAGAGAATCTTTTAAGACATATATATATATCTATCAAAATATTAATGCTATATACATGTATCCTTTCAGGAAAATTAGCAATACTACTCTTTATGTTATTTTGTGTGTGTGTGCGCGGCGCGCCCTCTATGGATGGCTTTGATCGTCCTCTCATCATCATGCTCATGAATCAATCAAGATGATTATATAATTTCTTATTTGTGAGTGATTCTTTATCAGTTAAGACACTTTTCTGATGCGAGAAATCGTGATATTGGGGTTTAGTAATGTCTTCCGTTAAGTGCAAAATAAGACATATCGAAGAATTAAATTATGCATTGGCTATCTAATTATGCTAAGACTAAAGCATATGATTATTCCCAAATTGCAGAGAGTTTGGTGTTGAGCGATTGACCGAAGTCTGACTGTGGGCTACTCCACAACTACATCTTTTTATTTTCTTTTTCAGACAACCAAATGTTTATGTCAAAGTTTGAGAGTGGAATAAAGCTTAAGGAAGAGAAGAGAGAGAAAAAGAGAACATGATTTTATTTTTGTGTTTTTTTTCAGACGATAATCCAATGAAAGAAGATTTGATAACTGATTGATTGTATGTTTCTGAAATTACTGAAAATCCAAGTTTTTAGGATTAATTTAATAATATATTATCCCCACACAGAGAGAGAGAGAGAGAGAGAGAGAGAGAGAGAGAGAGAGAGGGGGCAGATGGGTTGGCTGAATGTGCTTTGAAAGCTTTACAGGGAAAGGGGGGTTTGTAATCTTTTTGGCTCATTTGGTTCGTCCCCCCATCCGATTCACCTCACTCCGATTGGTTGATTGGAGGCGGGGCCGCCATGCCATAGCACACGAGATTACTACATTGCCACTCTATCGCTCGCTCGCTCGCTCGACAGCAGCAGAAGCAGAAGCCGACGGAAGAAAGCAGGAAACATACTGGAGCAACAGCCACAATAAAGGTCGCAGCTTTCCATGGTCACGGAGCTCTAAGAGGGTGGGCGAGGCAAGCTCCTATGGGGATCTCTTCGGAAGAAGCCGCGGATCGAAGGATGGAGGGGTGGCTGTACCTCGTCCGGCACAATCGCCTTGGGTTGCAGTACTCGAGGAAGAGGTACTTCGTTCTTCGAGGCAACGCCCTCGATTGCTTCAAGACCGCGCCCACGTCGAACGGGGAGGTATTTCTGATCGCTTCTCGGCGGCTCTGCCGTTGGTTTCTCGGTCTGTTCTTGATCTCTCGTTCCGTCATTGCTCGTGTTTTCTTGCTCCGTTCTTGATTACTTGAGCCATCGGCTAACCTTCGTCAGGGGTAAAGATGGAATCTTTTAGTGGTTTGTTTTGGCTGTTTCGACGATCTTGTTGATTAGAAAGAGAGAAGAGAGGAGCTTCTTTGCCTGGTCTTCTTTGCTTTGCGGGGAAGCTTGAGTCGGTTTTATCCCGAATTTGTCTCGAGCAAAGCGAGATCAGCAATCGTGAGATCGTTAATCGATTCACGTGACGTGGGGTTTTGCAGAGACCAAAGATGGTGGTAGATTATATGTTGGACTGTGGGCTGTGACAATGTGTCCTGGGCGTGATGGGAGAAGGTGAATTCGGTGCTAAGGGTACATGATGGGTGGTGGAAAGAGACTACAGGAGCCAACTGATAGCGGCAAGCAGTGGACGGTGATTGACTTGTGCTTGGTGTCGACGATGAGTGTATTAAACAAGTCTTGGTCGAGGTTGAGGAAATTGGATAAACATAATAAAAAGTCTAAAAGAGATGTTGCCAAATTATTGCTAATTTAGAATTTTGTGATACGGTCTTCAGGAAAGAAAACTAAAAGCATATTTCCTCTATGAATTTTTGTCAAATTTTTAAATAGAAAGTAGTTGTTTGATAACAAAACTAAACAGGCCTTTACATTGTTGTGATGGGCACGGTATTATGAATGGGGATCAAGTCTTAATGGTATTGTTGATCATCTTATGTGAAATGACCCCCGAGAAGGATGCACTCATAGTTTATTTCTTCATCTCAGTCACTCCTCATGGATGTTGTGTGATTTATGAGAGGGCAAGTGGATGGGTGATTAAACAGGATCTGCATGATGCATGATGCATGATGCAGTTCAGACATAATAACTTTTCAACATGCCAGGAGTTTCTATTTGAAATCAATGGTCAAAACCATGGATCTTTTTTTTGTTTGTTTGTTTCTTCCTTTTCTTCTTTTGTGCTATTTGTATAGCTGCAAACTTTTCCAACTCTTGATCAATTCTGCATCGATACATAGATAAAGAGCTCCGATATTTATTTTATAAGGACATTACAAACTTTCAGGTAAACCAAGTGTAAACAGAATTGTTTTTGGTCAAGAGGACAGGAAGCAATTTGTGTAAATTGTCCTAATTGTAAGAATGTGACAGATCAGGACAGTAATATTTGATATCCTTATGTCGTAGTGTGGTTTAGCATGTTTTTTCTTGTTCTGGTACTGGAAATCTTGATGCTGATCCCAGCTAATGTGAAAATTAGATGTCCTGAACCTACACCCTTTTCTTGCCTATTCAAGACAATCTTAATTGCCTGATAAAGTATTATTAGACTCACATGTGGTCCGAATCTTGGACCCTGACGTACCTTTGTTTTAGCATGGATCACAAATTAACTTGTTGTCTATAGTTGCTTATTTTTCTTTTGGTAATCTCCATATGGTAACTTTGATTCTTACTATTTAGTAGACTGGCTGAATCTACATGATAATGTTGCAAAGATTTTGATTGATGTTTTTTGTCCAATAATTTGTTGGCAACTTGGAGTGGTGCTGTTTTATCTGCTGAATTTTGTTGAAATAACTGAATATTATTTTTCTCATGTGTTGTGCTCAAATGCATGGAATTGTGATTTTTGTGAATATTCTTTGTTTTCTCAGGAACCTAGTAGGAGTGCAGTGGTTGACTCCTCCATACGCATCACTGATAATGGGAGAGATATTTTGCATAGAAATGTACAGCATAAACCTGACTCATTTTGCAGTCTAGATTCATTTATTCCATCAATATAGTTATGTGATAATTGCCACTGTTACCAATTTCATCACCTAGTTATAGCTTTGTTGGTACTTTTTCAGGTCTTGTATATATTTACGCTTTATAATGCCTCTAATCACAAAGATCAACTTAAGGTATGCTGGAATTTTACTTACTTTGAAAGGCTTTCTGGTAGTAGCTTTTTTGCTTTTTTCTTCTTATGGATATTAAAAATGGCCAAACCCTGCAGTTGGGTGCTAGAAGCTCAGAAGAAGCAGCTAGGTGGATCAGATCTCTAATGGAAGCAGCATTAAAGGTTTTGATGTTCTTGTTAGTTCTTTTGTATTCCTTGACAATACTGTACATGTTTATACATTTGCAGGAAGGCCCAAACAAAGAAGAAAATGTTGTATCTCGTTCAAAAAGAAGATTTAGGTATTACAACTCCCCTCTTTACCTATTAAGCGGTTTTAAATGTTTGCAAGTTTATGTGGGTTGACAACTATGCTCTTTTTTTTTGTTGGATAGGCATTTAATAACCAACATTACCATGCTTTGTAACTATCTGCTCAGTTATTTCCTCATAACTCTATGCTCTTAGTACTCTTTTGGAATAGGCCTCTAAAGCTTTATTGTCGTAGATGTTAACATGGGAACTACATTTATATTTTTGTATAATTGGAATTATTCTTTAGAGTGGTAAAGGTCAGGGCCAAGGTTTCCAATACTACCCGGTATGATATGGCATGAGTGGAATTTACCAGTTTGCTAGCTTACTGGTACATGGACCAGGGTAAACTGACCTGGTATAGGCCTATACCATTCGATACAAGACTTGTATCACCCAATATGCTCGGTATAGGGCCTGTAGCATCGGATATAGGACCTATAACGTCCGGTACAGCACAGTACATGCCTTGTACTGGTTTTTTTTTTCAGTTTTTTTTTTAAACTTGGTACAAACCGATGTATCGACACTCAATACACCGTTGTAGACCAGTGTGGTATTAATCTGAGCTCTAACCGACATGGTGCTGGTACATATAATTCTAACCGTGGTTGTCCAATATAGATTTAGAAAAGATGGTCTTTATGGCATTTGAAGATGCTACAGCTCATCGTTGCCTTGATATGAAATTGAGTAATTTATTTTTTGCTTAATCTTATGGAGAGTCCATGAGAAAGAAAGTTGCAAGCTGTTAGTGTACTTCCTAGAGCTTCTCAAAAAGATCACAAGACATTTTACATAGGCTTGGCTAATGTCAACTTGATTGCAGAGCCCTCAATACCTTCCTAAATGATTAGCTTGTGCAGTGAGATGATGTTGTCTCTGGTGAAGGGAATCCTTTTTTCTTCCACACATGGTGACTAAAATTAATAGTCAATTTAGGGAGATTGGCTACATGGCAAAAGCATTTCTGCAATAGTGTTCAATATTAGTGATCGTGGACCTGGATTTTTCATGGAATAGAGATCAATACTCTATGTCATTGCATGTGTTTATAATTTTGTCATTGTACCGATGCCTTCAGATATGAATTGCTTTTTTCCTTTGGTTTTTGATTAACTAAACCTTTCTAATTTACACTAAACTTAAGAACTTATCTGTTTAAATTGCCTTTAACAGGCTTTTATTGTTGTCTAGTCACAAGATTTCTTGTGAATGGTTTTCATATGCTCCTTAAGCATAATTCATAGAAGTAAGCAATTACTTCAGAATTAAATCGTTGGTAGTAATTCACACTTCTAATGTTCATTTAGCTCATCTACAAAACTGTGGTCTTAGTTTGACATAATTTATTGGTGCCAATTCTTGAATAATGTTATTATATCTGTGCATTTAGTTCCCATCCAATATGGACCATGATCTGTCTACTGTTTGATCAATGGCATAATTGTATCAAAATTTTCTTGATATTATTTGTCTAACTGAAGTATTTTTTTTTTTTTTTTTGTATTTCCATGTTATTTGATCACTAAGAATGATTCTACAGGATGATTCGTAGGAGTGGGAGAAGCCAGAAACGCTCTGTAGGTTAGCACATGTTCTTTCACTACTTATTCTTTAGCTCCTTTTTTTTTCCTTTTAACTTACAAACTTTAGATTCCTTTGACAAAATTGGCATCTAACTACAGATCGAATTGTGCATTGTATCGGGTTCCTATTGCCTGTTGGACCAATATGGTTTGTCAGAGGGGAAAAGGGTAGAAAGAGTGTGATAGGAAGAAACATTGATCACATGCTTTCTTCTTTCTTCTATTGTTTGAGGATCCCTAGCTGCTAAAAACAAAGATTCAATCCCTAATCAGTAAAAAAGCCAGCTTAGTTCCTGTAGTGTCAATGTGCACTGATTCATGTACTACTGTTTCAAGGCTGGCCTACTACATGCCAGTTGGAAATCGTTGTATATTGTGAAACCAGTTTACATGATCGTACATTTTTTTTGCAAATTTTTTTTTTGACCATAATATTGAGATTTTACAGATAATTTTAATATCTTGACTGTGCTTACTGGCTGTTATTGTTTCGTTGCTTTTTTCTAAATTATTTTCCCATAAAATTCACTTAGATTGGACTGTATTCACATCTGTGCTTGCTGATCCAATGGCGTCTGATGTAATTGCACCTTCCCCATGGACGATAGTTGGCTGCAGAAACGGTGATCATTACATTACTATTTTTCTTTGTCAAAAGATCATTTTAAACTAGGATTTTTCTATGTAGGCTTGCGGCTGTTTAAAGAGGCAAGAGATGCTGATTCTCGGGGAATGGTACCTATCATTTGACAAGCAATAATTGTTTATCAGGTTATTGAGGTGCTAATAGATATTCCACTCTTCTCAGTATCGGGATGACCATCCAGCTTTAATGGCAGTAGGTGTCATTGATGCATCCTCAGAAGCCATTTTCAAGAGAGTTATGTCTCTTGGTTCATCAAGATCAGAGTAAAGACAACACCCTCCTGTCCGTAGAATTTTGTATTTTAACACCTAATATTATAACTTCTGAAAAAATATGCATAATTTTCTTATTTGAGAAAAAAGGTCATGTACAATGTTTTAGTCCAGATAGATTGCTACATTCTTGACTTGTGACCCATTTTATCAGAGCATCATCTTTCAACAATTTTAGCAAATAAGTGATCTAGATTATGTTTATGTTGTGAGCAGATATACTAAACTCTTGCAGTATCATACCAACATTCTGGAACAAGAAAAGCATGGCACACCATAAAGATGAAATGAGAAGTCATGTCATGAGTTGGAAATTTCTAGATATGGTTTTTATACACTGTGCTTATTCTGAAAGTAAATTATGAAATTTCTTGCAGATGGGATTTCTGTTTATTAGAAGGCAATGTGGTCGAGCACGTGGATGGTCACACTGATATCATTCACAAAAAACTGTGTGGTGATTGGTTGCCATGGTCAGATAAATACCTCTTGGATTACTGGAATATTATCTATATCTTCTTACTAGCACATTGATAGCAGTGGTTTGCAGGCGAATGAAAAGAAGGGATTTATTACTACGACGGTACTGGAGGAGGGAAGATGATGGAACATATGGTAATTCCATTTATGAATGACTGGTGATTCTCAGATCATAAAGATCTAAATCAACTACTCTATTTTGACTTTGTGACAGTAATTCTGTACCACTCTGTTTTCCACCAAAAATGTCCATCTAAGAGAGGTTATGTTCGTGCCTGCCTTAAAAGTAATGTATGCTTGAAACTCAGGCTGTCATGCACATTTTCTCGTGGTCTTGCCCATCTTAACAAACACAAACTTTTGGTACTTTATGCTCATTTTCAGGTGGTGGATATGTGATATCTCCAGTGAGCCAAGGAAAACAATCAGTTGTAAAACACATGCTTGCAGTTGATTGGAAATTTTGGAAATCTTATTTTTTCACCTCTTCTGCAAAGTATATTACAATCCGGATGCTAGGGAGAGTTGCAGGTTTGATCTATAACATGGTCATATTATTTTTACTTTTTTTCTGGCATGTCTCATCCATTTATTAGATCAATATAGTGAGCATATGTTGACAGGTTGATTAACTGTGTGCTCTGCAGCTCTTCGAGAATTCTTCCGGGCAAAACTTGGTAGCAGGGCATGCTCTGATTTATCTTCAAGTGAATCAACAAGGGAAATAGAGTTGCAACAGAGTGAAAAGGAACAAATGAAACTAGAAGTACACTCAGCAGATGAAAATGATAATATCGAGGACTCTGCAGATGAGACACAGAGATCACCTACCAAAATTGCAAAGGCAAGTGGATCATTCCTTCAAATGAATGATGCAGCTGATGAGTTCTTTGATGTTATCAATGAACCAGAGTATGATGAAACAGAGGCTTTGTGGCCTTCTGAGGAAGGCATGATGCAACCCCAGGTTAGTGCTTGTCGTAGAATTCATCAAATATAAAATTATGTTCGTGTTAACTATACTTTAGCTTTGAAAGAAGTTATATTCAGGATCCTATAGTTTTTTGTCTTCTTTATTGACTATACTGAAAATCAAGCTAATGTTCTCCGTCAGTTTTAGAAATCAGGGAAATGACCTCTTAAGTCTTAATGTGTAGTTGTCCATAATTGTACAGTAAGAACCTTTAGTGACAATTGTAATGATCATGTTTTTATAAGCTGATCATGTTTTTATTTTAAAGTTTTTTTTGTCATGTCTATGTCAATAGTGTCTTTGATACAGTAAAAATCATGTAGACCTTTCTTTTCTTCTGTGATAAAGCATGAAGTTGATTTGAATGGCAATGTTAAAGATGTGAAATATTTAAAATTTTAATTGGTTATTAGAAGAAACTGCATTATTGGAATGGGATTGATGGTATATAAATTTTCTCAAGAGGGACAGAAGTCCTTGGTAGAATAGGATCATGATGATTCTATTTCCATCAGCAGTGTCATGGTATAAGGACATGCCAACTGTTTCTATCATGATAGGTTTCTGTCATATTGGTCGGACCTAGAGTTTTTAAATATCGATAGCACCAGGGTATATTTTTACTGGTATTAACCAGTCTGACCAAGGGACGATATTGAACCTCATTGGTCGATACTGGTCAATGTTATACCACCTAGTATACTAGTATCATATGGGTCCGACCAGTTGCCGAAACCACTGCTGAGATTTGATTCCTTGATGAGTACATCCCTTGCCTACTGGCACACAATAGAATTAGCCTAGTCATGTATCGACGTATTGGATATTGGTTCTTTTGATGTTTGCCAATACCTTTTTTCCATTATGTGTTTCAACCCGTGTTGTTGTAATCCACGTGGAGACATGCTGGTTGGCACAACTTGTTATATATATATATATATATATATATATATATAGGCTGTCTGTACTGGACAAAAGCTTTAATATTTTTTCTGCAACAGGTGTTCTAATTGAAGGAAATTTCAATTTTGACTTTGAACTTTCACTACAACCAGTTTGAAACTTCAATATTTTTCAGAATTTTCACGTTATCAGTCGTTTTAAATTGGAGATATGGAAAGGGGTTTGATGAATAAATATTAACTAGATAGAATAAACTCAGAATCTCGTCCATAAAAAGGTTTCACCTAGATGTTAGTCTATTGTAATATTTTTACAAGCACCTACAAGCTGGTCCTTGATTTTAAATTCTTTGTCTATCTCAAATTCTGTATGCGAATATGTTTGTCTATACATGAAGTTTATCTGCCATTTTGTTCTTTCATATTTAATTGTGTGCATGGTCAAATTATTACTTCAAAATTTTCGTGATTTTTCTTTCTTATAACAGTTAGTGCAGGACCAGCATCATTCCAAGCTATCAACGGCTGCAGTTTTCGTGAAAAAGTTGCATGATATTGCAGGTGGATTTATTAGATTTATTCTAAATGTTCATACATAATCATGTCTCGTTTTAACTTTGTTGATTACTTTTGTAATTACTATCTGGTTTCATCCTCTTCTTTTCAGTTCAAAAAAAAGGTTATATTGACTTACAGGAAGCCTCATTAGGGGAAAGTGTGCCATGTAGCTATGGATTAACACTTCCGAAAGACCTAAACTGTAGTTTGCCTTCCAGTTGGGCAATGGCAGATCCTTCAACATTTTTAATTCGTGGCAAATCTTACCTACATGATCATCAAAAGGTAAACTTTCTAGCTCTGTGATTAAGATTTGATTCTACCTACATTAATCATATCATAGGTTGAGAGATAATACAGAAACAATTTTATTTAGGAAACAAGTTAATAATTAAACTATTGGTGGAATATTTTTGTTAACAAATATAGGGAATTTTGATAGTATATACCCTCCTATCAGAGACTTCCTTTCTTCATGGAAAACGTGCATTTTCTATAAGAGATAACAGAGAGAGATAGAGAATATAGGGACAAAAGATACAAGAGATGAAATAGGGACAAAAGATATAAAAGAAGAACTAGAAGAAGAGGAGAGAAGAATAAAGAAAGTCAGAGAAAAACCCAAAAGATATGATATTCATGACAGTTTTGAATTTATTAATGTCTTTAGGATTTACAATAACCTTTTTTTTTTATAGATTTCATCTCTTCCCCCGACTATTTCTTATCAAGGTAGTACTTGACAAAGATTACATTCATATAAGTCGAGGGATTAAAAGTTAATCCTGTATTACCACAAGATTTCCTATATTCTATAACCCTCTAAACAAGATTCCAAACAAGAAATTAACTGATCTATACCATACTATACTTATATTAGACATTAGGGGCCTCCTGAAATTTCTGCTGAGGAAAAGGATGAAAATGTAAGATATTCCTAATCCTGGTAGGACTTGAACACCCTTTAAGTTGGTGGATTAGTTGAGACTTGAGACACAATCAGGTCTTGACTAGGGACTTATCCATTTTATAAGCTCTCATCTCTTTATGCCTTATAGGAATCTTTATTTATAAGCTCGCATCTCTTCCATCTCCTATTCCTAAACAAGGTGTTACTTAACAAGGATAACCTCTATTCAAATTGAGGGATCAAAAGTTAATTCCGGGTTTTCACTATAAAAGGATTCCAAAATTGGAAAACAACTAGCCTAGCCTATACCAAGGATCTAAGAATCGGGCGTATTGCTTGGTATGAGTTGGTATTTACTAATCCAATAGGCAACAACTATCAATAACTGCATCAGGATGGATTTATACACATTTATAAATTACTGCATATAAAAAGCTAGGACACCGGACAAAAGCAATCTCTTAAGAATTTGACCTTATTCGTTGGGATAGATACAGTTTCCAATAGTTGATGGTGAGGATCCATATTGCACTCTAAAACGTCAACAGAGTTATGCCCTTCATCTCCGCATGTCTCTCCTGTCCTTGGACCATCTTGATACCATGTCTGATGATCCGTTGATCTTGTGAAAGAAATCACATTACCAAGATTGGTCTGCTTGCCCTTAGGAGAGGATAATGTTCATGAATACTAATATCCATATCATCCATGTAACCATATTCCATGCTAAATATAACATTATCCATGATCATCATGCAATAATCTAATCCAAAAATCTGGTATACAATGATAACATGTATCCATTTTTGAAAGCTAGTCATCCAAAGATAGATCATTATACATTTGTTTCAAGGATTACATTGTGAAAGAGCCAGTGATGTATAATTATCAATGTAATTCAATAACAAAGCAATGCTTGTAAGTGACATTTAGAAGAATAAAGACTAGTGGTTTAGATTTGTATATATAATAAGATTTCAGAAGATTGGATTTCATCACCATTCAACGATCATTTTCATCACCTATAGTATCATAGTCACTGTTGCACATGATTGTTACGATCAAGGAATCAAATCTTGATTGTATTGGTCGGTAACCAGGTGGTATTTTATTTTTAATATTTTGCGGTATACCAGGCTGTACAAGATGATATACTACCAGGTGGTATGTTATTTTTAATATTTTTGTGGTATACCAGGCTGTACAATATGATATACCACCCAAAATATCAATATTATGCCAGTTCAACCAGTTCCTGGAACCGATATTGGACCGAGATTTAAATCCTTGGTCATAATCATCATAATCATCATTAATAGAATCTAACAGTAAGAGAACAAATGATTATGTATATTAAAAAGATAAAGGTAATTTTTTCCAGATTTGTTCATATTCAACATAAGATTCGAAAAAGCTTGGATTTCATGACCAAGATCTAAATTCTCACTTAATGAATCAGAATAGCTCAGTTTGTTTACCAAAATTTAATAATTCGTTTAACTAAGTTGATTTAAACACATCACATACACCTAACCATTATATTTACATGCCATGTACTTCAAATTAAATTTTCTTTTATTGGGACCAAATCCATGATCTATGATCAACTAATAGGATAGATGTGATCGGCCATTAGAAGAAATCCAACAGATGAAGAATCATCAAAATCAAACACCAAATAAAATTATAACATCTTGTTACTAATCAATCTTTGAAAACAACAGATAGATTCTTGGATCTGACAGCTAGGTCCCTTGCTGAACTCAATCTGTCAAGATCAATCAAATCATTTTTTTAATGGAATAACTCTACTTATTCCACTTATTAATCTTATCCAAGCATTTTAGACTGGGATAATTTTGTTCAACTTAACTATCAGAGCTAATTCGACCAACTAAAAATGTCTCCATCACATTTTTTTCAAGGAATTACATATTGTATTATAAACAAATAAAGAATTTTAAGTATCGGCATCCATAATATAATCCAACTATTGCTAGAGAGATATTCAGTCTGATAAGTTGATTTTAGTGTTTATGAAAATTAATAATATATGTTGTATTTATTTATCTTCTTGTCTAATAGATAAAAGCCAATGGTACCTTGATGCAAATGGTAGCTGCTGATTGGTTAAATTCTGATAAACGTGAAGATGACCTCGGTGGTCGACCAGGGGGAATTGTCCAGGTGTTTCTGAGAAGAAAAATTACAGTATATCCTGTTGTGACTATTCTTTTGTTTTCTCTGAGATATTTAAGTTTTGAGTCTTGCAGAAGTATTCAGCGCAAGGTGGCAGTGAGTTTTTCTTCATCATACACATACAGGTGAGTGGCTGCTTAAGTGAATCATGTCAACAGCATAAAGGAGACAAGAATGAGAGACAAGAATTGTCTACAATAAGATATACATATTCTGGTTTTAGAAATATCCCAAGGTTGTATATTGACAGGTTCCAGGTTCGACCACATACAGCCTAGCTTTTTATTACATGATGGATTGTCCATTGGAAAGTGTTCCCCTCCTAGAAAGATTTGTCAAAGGTGACGATGCATATAGGAATTCAAGGTTTAAACTCATTCCATACATATCAAAGGTATACATTTTCACTATATAATTGTTTCTAACTAGTTCCACATTATGTTTCTATTAATTACGCACAACAACTTTGTTATTTAGTTCTTTTTTTGTCCCTTTGACTTTATTGTAGGGTTCTTGGATAGTGAAGCAAAGTGTGGGAAAGAAAGCATGTCTGGTGGGTCAAGCACTTCACATCAATTATTTTTGTGGGTGCAACTATATTGAGGTATATTTAGATGTTTGTTACAGTACAGCTGCTTTTGTAAAACCAATTAAATTACTTTGTCAGATTTTTCAAATTATATTTCTAATCTCTTTCTGTAATGGCAACATTGACTACATCCTTAGGATTTCTGCAGTGTATTATGGTACTCTGTGGTCAATGAAATGCATTATCAGAAAACATTGCAGCATTACATGTGCCCATGGATAATGTTATAAATTATCAGATTAGCAACCCATGAAAAGCAAAGTTATAAATGTAACATGCAATTGTTTCCTTATATTTTCTGTCAGCATCCCCTTCTCCAAACCCTTTTCTTCTCCCCAGATCCATGATTGAACATTTCTATCCGGCTACCTTTCGTTCCTCTTTCCTCAACCTGAGCACATTATCGTAACTCGTCAACAAGTTGTCATACTATGTACTAGGCTCTGCAGCCTAAAGCAACCTATATTTACTAGCTTAATATCCTCTTCTCCCTTTCCCTTGTTCCAGTAGTTTTAAGTCGTGCATGCATTCCACCATATCAGTCTATAGTTAGCTATTGATGCTACATCCAATTTTACATAGTTACTCAAATTTGAATTTGTTGTGGTTTAAAATTGGTGAATGACTGAAAGGGATTTCCTGTGCATCAGATATTCAATTAAATGGTACTCTGTGTTCTATGAATTCATGGCAAAAAATCTGATTAATCCTTCTAAACATCCACTGATCACATACTATTACTTGAACCGAGTAATCGATGCCTTTAGTATAGGGAATGCTTGCATGTTTACATTTTATTGTATGGTGATGCTTATTAATTTAAATCCTTTTCACTGCATACACGAGCAGCCACATGTTCAATAATTAGTTATGCATAATGTGTAAGATGCTTTTGTGCAGTACTATCATGAAACAGCAACATGGGTTTGGTAATGACATCTTATGCTTATGAACTTTCAGCTTGGAATTGACATCGGCTCATCAACAGTTGCTAGGGGCGTCGTGAGTCTTGTTCTTGGTTACTTGAGCAATCTGGTTATAGAAATGGCATTTCTGATTCAGGTATGCATTTAAAGTTTGAATATTAGGTTACATCATCTGTTCTATCTGACTCTTGAACAAACCAATCTTCTCGGAAAATCAGTACGACCTTTCCACTTAATCAGTGACAATTAGATGTTCAGCAGTATCAATGGCTAAGTAGACTCACTGCATCTTCGGAACTTTTTTCCCTCTTAAATTTGTGGTATTTTCTTTACATTTATCATGAAAAAGCAAAGAGAAGTGAATGCTTATTTGATGATTAGAGGAATCAGTATTGATATGTTGTCTTGGGACATCGATAACCATGTTATCATACCTTGTAACAACGGCTTGCAGGGCAATACGGAAGAAGAGCTTCCCGAGTTCCTTCTTGGGACGTGCAGGCTGAACCATCTTGATGTCTCTAAATCGGTTCCATTAACCGATGATAATCATAAGGTGAACCTGTAGCTAACTGGTCGGGTGATTGAATTCATGACTCAGATCGATCGAGTATTCTTACCTTATTCTTTCTCTCTTTTCTTATGCAGATTAGATTATGATTTGCTTGCACATATATGATTCTTTCATTTGATAACAAGCTGGACATGGAAGCAAGTACACTTGTTCCTGGAGATGCAGTAACAATTGGAAATGATACTGATGTCTACTTATAATTCGTAGTAATATGTCGATGCATCAATTAGATATCGGCTACATTATGATAGATTTTGGTCTTTAGATGCTATTTAATTGCTTGTTTATATTCCATTGCTGTCGATTACATGTTTATAAGTAATCTTTTGTGATCATTCATGAAGGTTTAATTTTCATCTGCACTTGGATATAGCTAGGGGTGTCTGATTAATTGATTTGGTGGAATCAGCATTGTGACATGACAAATGCTAAATATTGATTTGGAATGGTACTCTTCCAAGCATTGCTTGCTGATCTTCCCTACTGCAATCAGGAACTAACACAATAACAAGCAGAATTATCATTTATTTGTCGATGGTATCTTGATATGACTTAGACATTAATATGTCAAAAAACTTGTCCCCTGACATCACTAGGTAAGCTATATTGTCTCATAATACAATAAGTTAGTGATCAATATGTCTGTTTAATTCCAATAACAAACGAGATCTCATCTGAGTATCTATGCGGAGGCATCCCTCCGCGATTAGCTTCTTAGAGAGACTATTGATAGGTAGCACATTTTTCTTCGAAAGTTTTCTTCTATTTTATTTTGTTATCATAGGACACGCACTTGTTCTTTATGCTATTAATCGCTATATCTTTAGACATTTCATTGGTAATAACATCCAAAATGGGTAGTGTGCATGCATTATTAAGGGGTTGATTTTTTAAGGGTTAATTATAGATTATCCCTTATAGTTAGATCTCTTGAGCGTTTCGATCTTTAGACTTAGAAAATTTACATTGAATGATATGAAAACGATAAAGCCGACGACGAACAGTGATGTCGATCAACGAGAATGATACGGTGCTCGATCTTGTCGACGTTACTAATAACATAAAAACGATGGGTAAAAAGATAATTTTAATTCGATCTATATCTTTCATCGATTAAGTGGACGGCGTTAGAGTAAATGAGATTAAATATTTTATTTTCATAATTATAGGTATTTCAATGTAAATTTTTTAAGTTTATAAGTTGAAATGTTAAAGAGATTTAACTATAGAGATAATATATAATTAGCTCTCTTTTGAAGCCTTATTGCTTATAAATGAACCGTTTTGTTGATGTTCCAAAATCAAGTGTGTATGTATGAAGTAAGGAAAGAAATGGGAGGGTGTGACAAGCCATCCATCTTACCGTACCAATCGAAGTCATATTTAATCTCTAAGCTTCTCGGTCTCTTCTTTCAGTGCCTAAATTGTTCATTAATCGATGCCAAATGTAGCGATAGTTGTGGTCTTTTCAGAGTTGGAAAAGCCAACATCACTTTCTTAAATCCCACCGCGAGCTTTGGAACCATCGAACCATCTCTCTCTCTCTCTCTCTCTCTCTCTCTCTCTCTCTCACACACACACACACACCCTCAGAGTAGGATAATTAATGAGCTGGTTTGGCACCACAAGACGTCACTCTCCCTCTCTCTCTCTCTCTTACCCTCGTGGTGGGCATCTTAGTAGGATAATTAATGAGCTGGTTTGGCACCACAAAACGTGGGAAGAGTTACGAGGGGTGACAGCTCCAACGGAAGTCACAAGTGAGATAGAGTGGATGAAGAAAGACCAAAGCACAGGAAAGAGTCATATTGTTTCAGCAGCTTAATTAATTAAGCCCTGTTGTGCTTTCGATAACACTGATTTAGAAGGTTAATTTAGTACACTGATTTAGAGTGGATGCTCCCAAACCCATTGGCGCATGAACAGCCACCGGCGCTGGCGGCGGCGGCGGCGGGGATGGCACACGGGAGAAGACGACTGTCACGTGGATTTCTCCATCTCGATCTTTGTTCTTGATGACCACCCCACATGTCCTACCGCTACTGCCATCACTCATCCACCCACCACCGTAGAAGCTCTTGTGCTGTTGCTTTCCTTCCCTTTCCCCAACGCCTCCTGACGCAGACGATGGGAGCTGGAAAACCCAGCTGCACTTCATGCACTGCTTATTATTTATTATCTGTTCCCAAAGCAAGATAGGGTTACGGTCTCTCTCTCTCTCTCTCTCTCTCTCTCTCTCTCTCTTTCTGTGTGCATGTCTTCCTTTATTAGTGGATATGTGAGTTCTGCTCGCCCTCCTCCATCCTGTGTCTTGGTCAGAAGCTTTGGGTGGATCACTCCGTCGGGAGTGAACGTGATACGACAGCTCGGCCAATAAGAACCACATTGTATCACTGGTTTATCTCTCCACTTGACATTGTTAAGGTAGACCAAAGGATTGCTTCTTCTTCTTCTTCTTCTTCTTTGCACGTACCAGATTAACTTGCAAGGCAGACGACATCAAGAATCAACCGGCACTCAGTTTTGGATCACATCTCAGCACCACCATCATGCCATCATTGACTCCTTTTTCTCCCATGGAAGTAAATTCCATTGGAGGTGTGATATTATATCTATATATATTGTTATCGAAAAGTTTATATTATATATATATATATATATATATATATATATATATAATATAGTATCAAGTGCGAACAATATACAACAGGAACTCTGTCTCATTCGGCATTAGATACAACACATATAATCAAGCATTTAGACATAAAATTAAATCAAATCAGGATGAATAAGCATATCTACATATCATACGCGCAAAGGTATAATGGGGAGGTTGACATCACATCTGTGCAACTTCTTTGTGTCAATTTCCTCTAATCAATTCTACATTTCAAGCCAAGTTGTCAAGATTTTTCTTGACATTTTCACAGCAATTTGACTATTTTGTGACTCAAGTCATAATAAGTTATTAATTCCTGAAAACGATTAATCTCATGCACAACTATAACTCCAAAATTCAATTTTTATAACTAGAATGGTAGAGAAAAAGAGTTAAAAAGATAATATATGTATATTTCATACAAAAGTGAATCTTATATATATTTCTTTCATCAATATCCTTTCATATGAAACCTATTAATACTTTTGTTTGATCATGAACACATCAAACATCAGGGTTACTGAGTGTGCATTTTTGTAGTGTCATCAGGGAACAGTGCATTAAATTGTGAATGGGAAAGAAATAATAAGCTCTTCCAATATCTATTTCTGATCTTGTAGGACAGTTCATCACACATAAAACTCCACCATTGAATAATTTAGCAGTCCTTTTCATCATCAAATTAATACTATGGTTATAAGTTGGGATCTATCTTCTTCCTAAAAAGTAGATAGATTCTTTTGTGGGAAGGTTTAATCTTTACTCAAAAGGTTTTACATGTGTCCTTTCCAAAATATGAAATTAATTTTTTTTATACAAATATTAATGTAATTTATATCCCTCCAAACTATTAAGATCCTTTTACTGATATCTATCCACTTGAGAAAACTCAGTTAAGGCACTTAATTTGTTTGTGTTAAAGAAATAATTAAAAGCATAAATTTAACACCCATAATATTATTTTTAGCATTTTTAGTCATTTAAGCACAACTCCACCTTTCTTTTTCCCCAAAGAGAATAAAAGGCTCTATTAACTATAAAAAGGTTACCAAAGTCCCAATCATTCTGCAATATATAACATAATCTATGAGAAAATTTATTCTTCTTTCTTCTTTTCTTTTGCATCACAATATTAACTTGTTGATCTTTTTGAATATTTTAGTTTGTGCATCCTCCGACTTAATAGCCTAACTTTCTCATCATGATTTGTTCGAAATATTTTATCTAATATATTATCATTAGTTTAATATAATCTCTTGCACTTATCTTAACCAACTTGACATGTCGTAGAAAGATCTTCCACTTGTCAATTGATTTTCCTACTAATTTTTTTACGGATCGATCCATATCACACATAATTCAAGATAAAGAAATATTTTTTTTGCATAAAAAAAGAAAAAGGCATAAGTCAACCAACAAAGACGATAAGACATTGATCAACACAATCATACATAATATTTTTGATGGCGATGGATAACGACTACAACTAAGCATGTCCTTCAAACTCATCCAAAGTTACTTTTGCATGACACTTCATATGCTACTTCACTATCATCTACTAGTTGAATTAGTCTCACTTGATGATATAAAATTTGTTGTTCGGTGGTGATTTCTTTTCGACATCTACGTATTATCGTTCGACATATGATTTTTTTTTTTTTTGTCATGCATGTCTCGAATATAAAATCTTTTTCTACTAAGATTAATAATAAATACAACATGACTTAAAGAATGAATATAATCATTGAGGTGATAAGATGGTTAGTCTTAGAGAGTAGAATTCTTTAAACTAGGAAGAATTATCCTCTCTAAGTTAGGTGCATGATATTATCTTTTGTCGTGAGGAATTATTTGTTTTAGGATGGTCCCAAAAGTCATAATCAAAAAGTATAATCGTATATGATAAATTCCAACCGAGAATAAATATGATCAAATTAGATAGGTTTGGGCTCCAACTACTAACTATCCATTATAAAATTGAAGGGGGGTACGAATTATCTCATGGATTCAGATCACAAGTCTGTCTCTGGTCTCCAACGTGGAGAGAGAAGTTGACAATCCCTTGTGCATTTATTTAGTTAGAACACAATGGATCGTACCCAAACAAATGGATGTTTTTTCCTTCCACATGAAACAAGAGGAGAGGAGATGGTGCAAAAGGTGTCACCCTTCATGGAGGGCCCTCCCTCTCCGAGAAGACAAGAACAAGACAGTGGGAGGGGAGACCAGAGCTTGTGGTTGGGGAAGGAGGGAAGCGAGTGTGGGGGCAGTACAGCTGTTGTGAGTGTTGGGAAGAGGAGAGAAGGACAAGAACAAATGGGACCAGCCTCCACAAATGATTGAGCTCGAGTTTATGTCCATTTATTTGTCAGTGGCTTTTTAGGTGGGAGGGATTTCCTCTAATGTGTGGTTTAGGTTGTTCTTCCCACCAAAACAAACTCTTTGTTAATATTATTATTCGATAGAGAAAGTAATAGACTTATCGTACTAAAATATAAAAGGTATTCATAGCTTGTCATGATCCGCGATTCTTGAGATGATTTTGATCTATGTTGTTTAAAAATCAAGTTTTCGAAGAATAATAACAAATGTAGATTTTTTGCTTGATATCTCGATCCAAGTCATTAAGGATGAGATGTGATCACTCACTAGTTATAAGTATTTTGTTCTTAAATTAAAA